GGCGGCGGCAGCGGCGGCCTCGGCGGCGGCGACGACGACGACGACGGCGGCCTTCTTTCGACGTTTCCGACGGTGGCGAGGCACGGGCGGCGCGCTGCGCACCCCGCCGAGCGGCACAGGCGCGTCGCGCGCAGCCGCCCTCGGCCGCCCTCGGCCGCCCTCTCGGGCAACCGCGTTGCCGACCCGCCTCGCGGGCCAGCCGCCTCCTCCTCCTCCTCCTCCTCCTCCTCCTCTCCTCCTCCTCCTCCTCCTCCTCCTCCTCCTCCTCCTCCTCCTCCTCCTCCTCCCTCTCCTGTTCCTTTCTCCCCTTTCTCCCCATCTCACCGTCCCTCCCTCCCCCTCCCCTCCCGCTGCAGACGCCCCTCCCCGCCCTCCGCCCTGGTGGCGGCGATGGTGGCGGTGGACGACGACGTTCGCAGTGCGCCCCACGCGCTCCCCTCAGAGCCTCGTCGAGCTGGTCTGGGCCCCGTCCGCCGTCTGCGGGCTGGCCTCTCCTGCGGCCTGCCTCATTGGCGGGTCCCTGCTCCTGTTTCTTCGCCCCGCGGCGCTCTGCGACATCCTTGGCCTCCTCGCAGGGGGCCGCCAGCGCCTGCCGCCCCAGTTTCAGGAGCCCGTCCCTTTCGACCCCGTAGGCCTTCACACCCGCGGCGAGGGGGTGGAGGGGACGCCTGACCCCGCACTCCTGGGCTTCTTCCGCTGTTCCGTCACAGACTGCCTCCCCCTCGCCACCTCGCCGTTCTCCTCTAGCTCCTCGAGCCCCTTCGCCAGGTGAGGAACACGCAACTCCTCGCGCCCGCTGGTGGTAGGGGGTGCTTCCCTTCAGCGATCCTCATCCTCCTCCTCCTCCTCCTCCTCCTCCTCCTCCTCCTCCTCCTTCTCCTCCTCCTCCTCCTGTGTTCTCTTAGCCCGTGGCGGGCCCTGCTCGGCTTGAAGGGGAGCCCATGGCGGGACGCGCAGCGAGCGGAGTCGCTCTGCCAGACCGCACGCTCCGCACATCCTGCACACCAAGCCCCCCTCGCGTCCTCCCTCCTCGCAGTGCTCCGCACGGTGGCGGCCCAGCCGCCCCAGCGGCCCGCCTCCTGGCTCCGCCTTGCTTCCTTCTGGCGCCACCTGCGTCGGCGCGCCCTCGGCCCCCCCTGCTCGCAGGACCTCAAGAACTCCGCGGGCCAGCCGCCCAGGTCCACCATCAGAGCGCTCGGGATGGAAGCGGCGTCGGGTTCCTTCTCCTGCAGCCAAGCCGTTGACCATCCTACTCGCACTGCCATTCTCGTTCCTAGGTGGTGGGCCCTGGTCGTCCACCTCATGGCATTCCCTGGTCTGGCGCCCCGCTTCCATGACGCACTCCGACTTCGGTCTGTGCGCCTGGGCCTTGGTCACCAGCACTTGCTCGTCGCCTACTAGTCCTAGCCACCACCTTGTCCACAAGTGCTTCCTGGCAGCTCCTTTGTCCAGCGCCTTGCCCACGCTCGCCGCACAGCGAGTCGATCCTGTGCAGTCGCCGGGGACCCCCAGCGGCGCCTGCGCGCAGCCCGACAGGAAGTGGAATGTGTAGTCCCCCCCGTCCCTGGCCAGCTGCAGCGGCGCCCAAGCGAACGGTACCGTGCCGCGCACCGCCCCGAGCACCTGCCCCGCCTCGCTGTGCACCACGATGGACCAGCCCGCCCTCCTGAGCACCTCGTCCTCGGGGTCCGTGGCCGACCCGTCGACGAACGCCCGTCCTTGGGAGAAGCCCAGCGGCGGCTTCCTGATCCAGATCATTTCCTCCTTGTCCTCCCTCTCGTGCAGCTCGAGCCGCGCCTCGTGCAGCTCGAGCCGCGCCTCGTGCAGCTCGAGCCGCGCCTCGTGCAGCTCGAGCCGCGCCTCGTGCTCTCGTGCAGCTCGAGCCGCGCCTGGTTCGCCCTCGTGCGAACCTCTCGCCTGCCTCCCATCCGTTCTCCAGCGCCCTCCTCCCTCCTCCCTCCTCCCTCCTCCCTCCCTCCTCCGCCTCCTCCCCTCCTCCCTCCTCCTCCCTCCTCCCTCCTCCCTCCTCCCTCCTCCCTCCTCCCTCCTCCCTCCTCCCTGGGGCAGAGGTCCCACTGGGGCAGAGGTCCCACCGCACCATCAGCGACGCGTTGCAGCCGAAGCGCCTGTGCCAAAGGGTCCCGCGCTCCCTCTTGCACCGCCTGGACTTGTCCGTCGCCGCCAAGTCTTGTCGCAGTGCCGCACTCGCTTCCATGTCGAACCCCTTGCGCAGCACCTGAGCGCCCTCTTCTTCTTGACTCCCCAGGACTCGGTCTCCTCCTCGAGCAGCTCCTCGAAGTGCCTCCACTAGACTAGCCCCCCAATCCCATTTCTGCCCAAGGCTTGGCAGCACCTGGCACCGGGGCGTCCGCTGTCCACCTCGCCGTCCTCGCCGCCGCGTCGCTGACCAGCCCTGGGCCAAACCGCCTCATGTTCAGCACCTCCCCCTTGCTTCGGCATCTCGAGCTCGCACGCCGTCAGCATGCGGATTTCTGTTTTCGAAAAACGCGAGGAGGATTGCGCCCGCTGGCCTGGTCGCGCTTGTGCGCGGCAGCGCCCTGGAGGGCTTCCCCGCGCTCATCGCCCACGCCCTGGCCCCGTCAGCCGCCGCCAGGACCACGAGGCTCCTCGTGCCTCCCTGCGGCGAGGCCCGCAGCCTCAGCTGCGCCACCGCTCCTCGCGGCAGCCTGCCCTCAGCCCGGGTCGCCCGGATGCGGAGCTGGTGGACCTTGCCCTCCGCGACGCCCGTGACCCATGCCCCGCAGATCGCCGTCGCCGCGGGGCTGCTCATCTGCAGGTGGCCTCCCGTCGCCGCTCCTGCGGCCCTCGGCACCACCGCGCGTCCTGTCGCCTCGGCCAATTCGGCCATCCTTTTGCTCCGGTCACCTGTCCTCCTCCACTGCGCCCCCGCCACCCTCTGCAGCTCCAGGCCCGACTCCACGAGTGCGCTCCTCATCGTCACCGCCGTCTCCTTGCCGCCGGCCATGTGCTTCGTCTCGTGCCCTGCCAGCAGCCAGCAGCTCCACCAGCCTCATCATGGCCGCTGGGAGTTGGGAGAGCAGACCTCCTTCGACCTCCCCACCGCTTGCGCCAGCACGTCGTCCACCACGTTCTTGCATCGCCCGACGGGGCACTCCGCGGCCAGCAGGCAGAGCGTCTTGTGGAGCATGACCTTAGCCAGGCCCGACGCGCATGCACATCCCGTCACCAGCGTGCCATTCGACTCCAGTTCCTCACTCACCGCGCCCCCCCCCTTCGCCCTCATCGGCATCCAGCAGCTGATGCGCAGGGGCCGCAGCAGCTCCTGAGGAAAGCCTGCCTCCTGACTCCCCTCCTGAGCGATCTGCGGGAGACGTGCTCGTAGAAGTTCGGCAAGTCCATCAGGCATGCGCCGTGCGCGAAGCCCGCCCTCCTCGCGTGGCAAGCCACCACTTCGAGGTCATTCCCGCCATGTCGCGCGGCGAGCTTGCCGAACCCCAGAAGTGCTCCTGGCTAGTCCTGCAGCTCTGGCCCCCCAGCGCGCCACGATCGGCTGTCGCATCCTGCCCCAGATCTTCGCCTCGAAGGCCATGAGGCGGATGGGCATCAGTCATCTTTCGGCCTTGGCCAAGGACACCGTCACCGTACTCCACAGCGCTAGCGGCCACGCCTCCTCCTCCTCCTCCTCCTGCTGCTCCTCCTCCTCCATTCCTTTTCCTTATAAATAACTTCTCCCTGTCGTACCCCGAGGCCAGTTCTGAGGGCGGGCTGGGCGTTTCGCCTGAGACGTCCTCATCACTTGTGACTCTGAATCTTAAACATTGTCAAGAGCTTCATGGATTGAGGGCTGGAGGTTCTCAAAATGCGTCTTTCGCCTCAACGCGGCGCACATTCCTTTTAAAGGTGTACAAGAGTGTCACATATTGAGGGCGGGTCGTTTTCAAAATGTGCTCTCGCCTTAGCGCGGCACGGTTTTCAAAATGTGGCTCTCGCCATAGCGCGGCGCACATTCGTCCTAAAACGTTGCAAGATCTTCGCGGATCGAGGCCGGTTCCTTCTCAACATGGGGCTCTCGCCTCAGCGCCGCACACATTCGGTTTCGAATGTGCAAGAGCTTCACGGATTCCCATCATCAGCGTGCCAGAAAATACGGTTTGAAAGGATTCAGGGGCATGCGGGTGTAACAGTTATGTTGCTTCGTTGTGTTGAAGTCACAGGAATAGCGTTCTGGCACGATTCAGGGCTGTCAAGACGCAACAATCAGGTTAATCCGTGGCGTTGCAATCCCGAGAGCAATGTTTTGGCATGCCTCGGGGTCTTCGAACGGTTATTTCCAAAGAGGCAGTTCCCTCGATGGAAATGAGCAGCTGTAGGGGCCTATGAAGAGGGAGCTTGGAGGGAGGGTTTATTCCAACATCATTGATGACTCTTGGGTTTACACTGGTCATCCTCCTCCTCTTCCCGCACGCTGGAGGATCTCCATCAGCCTGTCACCGTAGCCGTCGGTCAGCTGGTACAGCAGGCGCGGATGAAGCCTGTGCAGCCTAGCCCCGTGTCCTTCAGGCACTTGCGCAGCACCCCGCGAACCTGCCACTCCGTGATGAGCTGCAGCGACTGGCCCCTGCCCCAGTCCGCGGTCCCGCAGCGGTAGCCAGGCCTGCAGCGTCACCTCCATGGCCGCGCCCTCTGCTTGCGGGACGCACTCGACCTCTGGGTCGTCGTCGTCTTCTGGCGCCCCTGCCGTTCCTTGTTGCAGGAAGCGGGAAGCAGCAGAGCCGTTTGTCTCCCCCGTAGCTTTCCTCACCCAGGCTCTCCAATGGGGGCTGGCCTCCTTCGCGCCCTCGTCCGCGCACCTCCCGAGCTGTCCCTGCGCCGCCTCGACTGCGCCGAGCTGCTCCTCCTTGGTGCCCTCGCAGACCCTGTCGATGACCCTCCCGACTGCTCCTGCCATCATGCTGCTAGCCGGCCAGCTGGCCGTGGTCGCCCCCCCCCCCCCCCCTCAGCTCTTCCTTCGCGCTGGGCCGTCGCTCGGCGTCCTTTCGCGCAGGGCCTGCCGCCTGCGCTCCTCGGCCTCACTGGCGCTGCCGTCCTGCCGGCCCAGCAGTTGGCTGCTGCGCCCGACCTTTTCCTCGAGCATCGCTGCCACTGCGTTGCGAGGTCCACTCCTCCTGCGCCCCCTCACCTCTGACGGGCCGGCCTTGGCGACGAGCCCCCCCTGCCCCTCTCGCCAAGGCTCCGCAGCTGGCCCACCTGGCACAGCGGCTGGCCCACCTGGCTCAGCCCCGTCAGTGGCTGGCCCACCTGGCCACTCCTCACTGGCGGCCTCGGCTGCGGCAGGGTGGGCGGTCCATGCTGGCCTAGCCCTCCCCTCTCCAGCCTCGGTCTCCTCCCCACGCCTCCTCATCCTTGCGGCCTCGTCCTTCTCCTCGGCGACCTTGAGGTGCCATTGGGCCTCTCCAAAGGCGCCCGTCCAGCACGCGCTCGCCGCTCCACGGTGCACATTGGGCCCAGGCTGCAACCAACTGGCTCCTCGGGGGGGCGCCGGCCCTCCCCCCAGATTCCTTTCCACAGCCTCCTCCTCGGCGTTCTTGGTGCACCAGTCGGCCGCCTCGAAGACGCCCGTCCAGCACCCCCTCGCCGCTGCTTGGTGCCCATGTGGCCCAGGCTGCACCCAGCTGTCCTCACGGGGGGAGGGCGCCGCCCTGTCGGCTTTTCCCCCGTCCTCCTCGCCTCTGCTCCCTTGCCGTGCTCCATGTCATTGTACTCCGCGTCGAACCTCGCGTCGTCGAAGGTTCGGCCAGGTCGAATCAGCGGTACCTGAAAGCCTAGCCCCAGCCAGTCCTCGTCCATGTGGTTGCCCTGCCAGAAGGCCGTGTCATGGTAGCCTCTTGGGCCCCCAAACTCGTAGGACTCACCCGGCAGGCTCCCCTCCTCCAGTAGCTTGTCCTCCGTCTTCCCGTCCTCGTACTTCGCCTCCACGGTCAGGTCGAACTGCACTACCCGTAATACGTCTCCTCCTTCCCGTTGCTTCGGCCCCGTGACCGTCGCACCCTTGAAGATGTAGCCCGCCAGCATGAGCAGCGCCACCACCCGCGGCCTTGCCCTTCCCTTCGGCCATAATCTTGGCGCTCGCGGCGGCCTGCTCGTCCTGGCTGAGCTGCGCGGGGTCGGCGGTGATCCTGGCCTCCTCTAACGCTTTAGCTCGCCTCACCTGCCTCGTCGCATCATCAAGCTCCTCCCCTGGGTCCTTCTTGGCTCCTGGGGATGCGGCTGCGCTCGCTCTGATGCTGGCACTGTCAGCCGCAGGCCCTCCCTCCTCAGCGGCTGCGGCTCCGCCGCCCTCCTCACGAGCCTCCTCTCCTTCGAAGCGCTTCTGGCCCTGGCCCTTGCCCGGTTGACCACCTGCTTGAGCTGCTCCGCTTTGCCTTCGGCCTGTGAGCACAGCTCGGCGCAGATCCGCTCGGCCTCTGCACGCCGCTTCTCCGCGTCCTCCAGCGTGCCCTTGCCCTCCTTCGGCTGCTCCCTGGGCTCCTGGCACTCCGCAGTCGCGCTCTCCGTCGGCCTCGCCCAGCTCCTCCAACAGGTCCCCTGGGACCTCGAAGCCGAGGGAGCGGTCGATCCCACCACCGCTCTCCTGCCTGCTCCGTACCCATGGACTCCGCCAGGTACTCTGCGTTGACCTTCTGTCAGACGATCTTGGCGGCCTCATATGCGTCGGCTGCCTGCACCCGCTCCGCGCGCAGCTCCTCCGGCTGCATGCTCACCGCCCGCACCTTGGCCTCCTCGGCCTGCAGCGTTTACCACCTCTGGCCCGCCTTGGCCCTCGCCACCTCGAGCTTCGCGAGCGTGTCGCTGGGCCCCTGGCTCTTGGCTGCCGCCCGCGTGGGCGCCGCGCAGCGCCGCAGCGCCTCGAGCGCCTCCTGCTGGCGCCCGCCCTCGACCGCCTCCCGCGCCGCCCGCGCCTCCTGCAGCAGCGGCCCAGGCGATGGCCCAGCCGCCGGCGTGCGGCCACGCTTGGCGCCCACGGCCCGAGCGGCGGCGCCCAGACGACCCGTGCGTGTGTGTGTGCGTGTGCGTGTGCGTGTGCGTGTGCGTGTGTGTGTGTGTGTGTGTGTGTGTGTGTGTGTGTGTGTGTGTGTGTGTGTGTGTGTGTGTGTGTGTGTGTGTGTGTGTGTGTGTGTGTGTGTGTGTGTGTGTGTGTGTGTGTGTGTGTGTGTGTGTGTGTGTGTGTGTGTGTGTGTGTGTGTGTGTGTGTGTGTGTGTGTGTGTGTGGGGGGGGGTGTGTGTGTGTGTGTGTGTGTGTGTGTGTGTGTGTGTGTGTGTGTGTGTGTGTGTGTGTGTGTGTGTGTGTGTGTGTGTGTGTGTGTGTGTGTGTGTGTGTGTGTGTGTGTGTGTGTGTGTGTGTGTGTGTGTGTGTGTGTGTCTGTGTGTGTCTGTGTGTGTGTGAGTGTGTGAGTGTGTGTGTGTGTGTGTGTGTGTGTGTGTGTGTGTGTGTGTGTGTGTGTGTGTGTGTGTGCGTGT